GTGAATCAGAGAAGCTGAGCACAAAACATCCACACAAAGCAAAATGCCATTGGCTCTAGAGCCAGAAGGTTAAGGGCAGCAAGGGAAACAGAAGGGAATGCAGAATGCAGGCCTTGTTGCTAGATAGATCATTTATTAAAGTGAAATTCAGCATTTTATCTTTGTCAGACAGTACAGAGTTAAAGTCTCATACACAGTGGAAGCAGGACATTTCCTACACCTCAGAGAAATGAATTCTACAGTTTTTGCTATAAGTTACTAAGTTGCTTTAACAATACACATTTATATTACACAGTTAAAAATACAAGGTGTCCCAAAAACATTTGGCATAAGATCAGCACAACACATGGAGGCCAGAAACAGAAGAGGGAACACAGTTTTTCTCTCCCAGTAAGCCCGCCAGAAGACTTCAAGCCATTCTGCAAGTTACCTGCTCTTAGCCTTCCCTGCACTCCAGCTGTGCCTAGGACAGGAGGAACAACCAGCCCTGTTACAGCTCAGCTAAGGAAGAGGCTCCTGGAGCTTGCAGATGTACAGGATGGCCTGCAGAGTTGCTTGCAAGAGAAGTTCAGGTTTAAGGCAGGAGCCCCCTCCTCCCCTTTCTTCAACCATTTAATTCATTCCAACCAGGTGTGTTCACAGGCAAGTCCATAACACAAGACCAGGGACAGCTGTGAAAGGTGCAGGGAGTATCTTGCACCCTAACAGTTCATTTGCACTTTGAAAGTGAAAAGTGAAAACTCCCTAACTTGGTAAGTTAGAGATGGCTAAAGGGCATCAGTGACAAGAGGAGTGAGGCATCAATAACATTCCTTCACCTTTGGGACTCTTCAGTCAATACTCTGGGCAGTACCAGGACTCCTGTACAGGAGGCTACCTTAGACTACCCACTATTTCAAACTGTAGAGGCAAAGTGACTCTAGTGCTCTGGGGAAGTACAACTATCTGCAAATTTAAATAAACAGTCCCCCAGCAGACCATTTCTCTTCCCTTCAACTGCAGTTACTGCTGAAGATCTCCCATTGGTATTTACATTTGGCTCAACCAAAAGACGTAAAGTGCACAGCTCCCCCCTTCTTCCCCTCTCATAAAACATCCATTACAAGAGCTAATGCAGAACAAATCTTCCTCCACGTTGCTAACAGTGGAAGTGTGTTTTGTTCAGTCTCTGTGGGCCATGTCCTGTTTCATCTTCTTTGTGCCATTATGACCCGCTTACAAACTCGCACTTACTGCGGATTATTTTGGCTCTTGATTTCAAAGCCTCTCCAAAGCAAGTTTGCACTTAAGACTAATTTTAAATGGCAGACTTGATATGTTTTGGTCAAGCCTTGTGCTCCAGGCTATCTTGCCACATTTCTGAGGAAAACTGGGACACTGGAGTACTGGGGACAAGTGGTGCAAACCTGCCGAATCCACTTTTTTCAGGCTCAGCATCTAAAGTGCCTGGCAAAAGAAACATTAGCTTTTAATGCAATTGTTTACTTCAGCTTGATATAAATTATACTTTGAGATGCAGAAATATAAAAAACCTGCATTCTAACACAGCCTCCTTGGATATATTTGCACTTTTCAGCCATCACATTGCCACCAAGTCAAGACTTCACATGCTTCCAACTCTCTTCAGTTGAGCTCAAGCCAATAACTACTAGCAATGATTCTTTTTCTTCCCTTAAGGTGAGCAGAGGGTCAGCATACAGGATGAAATTAACCCTGGAAGAGATGTTCCTGCATTATTTGGATTTCCTACTAATGGCTTTGGATCTATCCAGAAGTCTAATGAAGTTAATGGAACTCTTCAATGAGAACTGAATTAGGCAATGGAACTGAATTAGGCTATGTAATGGCTGGAGGGCTTCAAAGACGATCCCTCTGCCCCAGGGTGAATGTCACCTATGCAGGCTTGTAAGAAATAAGCTTCCACTATTATAAATGGATGACATCAGGTCATCCTCCATGCCCCCAAGGCTTGTGCTCCATGGTTCAAAGCTAGACAGAATTTAAGGCCCATCTGTGAAAAGCAAAACGCAAAAAGAAAAAAAAACACATTACTCTTATCATACCAGCCAAAACAATTTGGGTCTTCCACCTTTCCAACAAGTCCCATCTAAAAGTGCTGAGAAAATGTCCCACCTCATGGCTCCACAAGTGTGAGGTTCAAGCACGTTTACTTATAAGTTCAAAACAAAAAGTTGGAAAGTCTTTTTTTTTTTTTTTTTAATTGGCATGCAGCATAAGGAGTCAAATACACAGAATGGTATCATACAGAACGACGATTGCATTGTTGCGTTTTCTGGTTATTAGACACTAAATGCTCTTCAAGAATCACAGGCACCCTGAACATGGATATTGCTACTGAATCGACGTGTGATCTCAGTTCATAGCATGGGAGCCAGAAAGTGGCTGACCCTTCCAACAAGACATGGGCTTTCTTTTGCTCAAGGCGTTTTGCTCTAGCTAAGTTGAGAACAAGGTAATAAGGCATTTGCAAAGGTTTATAAGGCCATGGGGTCTGACAGCCAAAGATCCCTCTGTTTCTTTGGTGTCTTGCCTTTCCACCTTATAAACAACTGCTAATGGCTGGTAAACAACTCTTCATCACCATACTTCACTAAGAATTATTTGTTTTTTCAAAAAAGTATAATTGCTTTAAGAGTGAAACGAACAAGGATCACATTTCACATCAATTGACTATTTTCAGGAAAAAAAAAAAAGAAAAAGAAGAGTTTCCTGGATACCACTCTGCACAAAAGCATTCCAGTGAATACACCTGAACAGATGGAACCTGCCACCGTATTTCCTTGAAAAGAATAATTTTGCTGCTGGTTGCTAAAACACCCCAACAGATTTATTTACTCTTAGAAATAAAACAAAAGAAAATACAACAAAAAAAGTAAATCCCAAACAAACTACATTTTTACAGTTTTGGTCTAGAAGATAACAACGAGGCATTGCCCTCTCAACTCAGAAACTCATTTTCCCTTGGTAATACCCTCTGATTACATGAGCACTTTGAAGACTACCATGCAGTCAGAGAACATACCCTTTTAGCTACCCGTCCTGAATGAGAGAAGCCAGATCATGTTGACTGATGTGGGAATTACTCCAGCCTTTCAATAAGGAAAGGACATGTGTAATTAGGAAACTTTTAAACATTCATTAATTCATTCTCTCCTCATTCCTTGAACCTCTCCTGGCTGACGTTCTTGAAATCCATACTGAATCGAGCAAGGAAATGCTGAAACAACCACACTCCCCAAAACTCTACACATGGGATCTGTACCATAAGAGAGTATTTCTGCCTATGACACAGGACTTGAGACACATTAAGGTTTGTTGAATACATTTTTGAAGTATTACCAAACACTTCAGAGCCAATGTGAACAACTTGCTTTAAACTGTGACTTGATTTTTAAAGAGACCCTGGGAGAGCTTCAGCAAGAGCTTCACTAAGTGAACCCTTCCAGCCCTTTGAAACGTCACACAGTACTAAGATGGGATCATGATCTATGTGTTTAGCTCTTAAAAAATAATAACTCCATCCAGTTTTGAATATTAAAACCTGCTGTTGAGAAAATGCTAGCCAAAGTTTCCTACTGTTCAGTTCGTTGCTTAAGGCTTGTTGAGAGTATACTCTCTATGTGGAGTCTTGGCATCTTATAACAGAATTGAGATATTGGTTAGGACAGCAAAGAAACAGTGGAGCTTTAAATAATGAGATCCCCCTGAACAGAAGTTGAGGTCACTGGAGAACAGTCACAACCAACAGTTTTATAAGCTTCTTTTGCCAAAATAACCGCTATGTTATTTGTAAGGACACCTTGGCTTTAAATAACAAAATCAGAGGGATCTCCTCCTACAGTGGCCAGTCAGAGAGCACCAGTGTGGCACCCTCCACCCACACAGCTCTTACAGAAGCACACGTGATGCTCACAAGGGCGAGTACTTCGATACTTTTAGCACACTGCAAAGACAGATGAAATGCATCATGCTCCAGCCAGGTCACTACCCCAGTTCTGGTGTCACACCCACTGGAATAAGTCTGATTTTATACTAAACAGAGCCCACCCATCTACACAGCAGTTTTGTGATACCTGTTAAAGACTAGCTTCAGTACGGAATTCACATGACTTGTGATTGATACCTGATCTGACAGAGATCAAGAGACAGATGTCTTCAACCATCACTAAGCCTTGAATACTACAAGAATTAAATGAGCATTTCTACCAACGTGATCAAACCCAGCAAATAAGCTACTTTTGCCTCAATACCACATTCTGAGGAAACGCAGAAGTTTTTAAATGCTTACAGACAGTTAGTGAGTTCTTAAATAAAATAAATGAGAAAAAGAGACTGCAGAGAGTTGTTCGGCATCCAGGTCAGAAGGGGGTGGGAGGAAAAATGGTAATAAAAAATTATTTCAGACTAGTGAAGTAGCATTCACTGGAGTAGATTTGGTGATCTGGAGCATTTGTAGAAGTTTGGGACTTGAAGTGCTGACTCAAGGCAAGACAGAAGATGTGCATGTGAGGAGCAAGCTTCAGACAAACTTCTGACCCATGCACCTCAATAACAAATTTTCTCTCTGCTGCTATTCCAGTCCTGTGCCAAGACAAACTGCGTGGTGGTGGTGATGCAGTCTGAATTCAGCAAAAAAAATTCCATCTGTGAGCTGAATTGCACTGAGATGCAGATTTCCAGAAATGGTTTAACACGTTGAGTTGACAAGCTCCACAGTCCTACAGGTTTACTTGGTTTTCCCATTATCCTCATTTCTTGATTCCAATGTGACTTTGAAATGAGGTGAAAAAGTCTTCAGAAACATGCTGGGCACATGTTTTCAAACACTTCTGATAAGAAGGTTTTGGTTTTTTTCTGTCATCCAGACTCACTGCATTTAAAAAAAAATTTACAATATACTTCAACAGTTTTTATATACCAAATATGCACAATACCATCTGCTCCTTCAAGGTCTCTCTTATTCCAAGTCTTGCTAATCTTCATTCTAGTTGCTTGCTACCTTCTGATTTCTGGTCCAGCCTGCTCTTGTTGTTCTTCACCATGTAGATGAAATATGCAAGTGTCTCTTTCTCATTCACAGGAATATTCCTGAAGTGACGACTGACAGTCTAGAAGGACAACATGTAAAGAGACAGAAATTCTGAAATTAAAAAAGTAGAAATAATCAGAACAGAATTTCTCTTCACTTTCCCCAAATGATTTTTTGGCATTACATACTTCTAGTCAAACATGCACCAATTCAAACTGTCAGTCCTCATTTACCTCTCTCTCTTTTTACAGCTGGAATGTGCTTATGAACATAGCATAGTCTTGCTGTATCAGCAGTATTTGCAGCCAACCTGCAAGCAGAGTATGGAAGCCAGAACGTCCTCCTGCCAAAGCAGCACAGCCTCTCCTAAGCAGCACTTCATGCTGAGATTATTTGGAGAGCAAGTTTTCCCTGCATCTCAGTATTTTAAAGGAGAGTGTCAGGAACATCAAAACACTTTGCTGTGTGAACCAGACATAGTAAAGTTTTAGAGTCCAAAGGAAAACACAGTGGATAAGTTTTCACTGGAAGGAACACCAGGGGATTTACAATGGGAGGTTGGAATTTGGTTAGGGCAACTCCTTTCTGACACAAGCCTAAGCCCTGAAACATCAGCTGTTTTTTCCTCAGAAAATAAATGTACAAAAAATCTTGGAGCTGGATGAGATCTGCTTATGACACAGAAGAAGCTCTTTTTTGGTACACAACACAGCTCCAGAACTGGATGTTGATGCAGGCTGAGCAACAAGTTACTCCAAGAAGATTTATGGAAGTTTGAGTTTTCCTTACGGTGGGGTAGCAGCAGGAGTCTAAGAGCCTCAGGCAGCAGTGATTCAAGCATGGGAGCTGGACGAGGATCCAGTGTAGGGTCAAAGCTGCTCAGACTTCACAGGAAATCTGGGAAGTGTGTGACAACTTTAAGTTAGGCTCCCTTTACTTTCTGCTTGCACAGGAGTTCTGTTTTGCTGGGTTTTTTGTTCTTCTGGGCACATTCATGGTAAATTCCCTAAGTAAGTAGTCCTTCATGGCAGGAGGCACCTGAGAGACTATCAACTGGTTAGTTGGAACATGACAAATCAGAACTTCTAATGAGAACATACAGCCATCCTGCTTCCTTCACCTTCCTCCTACCTGCACTACACTACACACTCTTTTTATTCTGTGTATCAATTTCCTACCTGACTTAGGGAATGCGAGCAAGACAGAGTCTTGCTGTCTTTTTTGGTCTGCCAGTTGTTGTTTAAAGCAAAACAGACAGTTTTGGGCAGACAGCTGTGAAAGCCTCAGCTTACAAACCCAACCTCATTACCATTCAGTAACTGCTACATTTTTTTCAAGTTTAGAGAAGATTTCTCCCACATAATGCCTTTGGATCAAGTCAGGGAAGAGAGCATATGCACACCAAGAACAACTAGCCCAAATATCAAAGAGATAGAGAGAGTTCTTTCTTAACAAGTATCCCATATGGTGAGAAAGCAGCAGTAGAGGCACTTAAGGAAAGAGCCTTTTATTGACTTAAAGAATCAAGACATTAGGACGAAGGAGGGAAATAAGGCATCTGAAGACACGGTCAATAAGAAGCCATTCCAACCAATTCCAACAGTGCCTGTGAGAAAATAAAAGCTAACAGAGGCACTTCCGGCGACTAGTAGTGTCTAAGGCTGAGTTCCAGTACAACAGCTATCTCCTGTTAACACCTAAGCCACCGGAAACTAGGTTGTTCCTTAAGGTAATGGATTGCCACTAGGAATGAGAAGGGAAAGGAAGCAGAGAAAAGCAAGTCACTAAAACATGCTTTCAAGAGCCAGCTTTTCAAGAGCACAGGTATTAGTGTGCAAGAAACGTGCACTTCAGCAGAGGAGATAAGCTTTTTGATACCAGAGATGATACTACCTCTGTTGTCACTTACTTCTGCCAGCTGAGCCTTGTTGAGTCCAGGCCTAGTCTGCAACTTGTAATGTCTCTTGTAACGCCGCAGAGTGTTCACTTGGAGCTGGAACAAGTCGACCTGGAAGTGATGCAGAGAAGAAGGGATGAGTGCTACCTTCAGCTTCTCTTGGGAAGAAATGTAGTTATCTAAAAATAACTACTTCTTCCTCAACAGGACTGCTCATTGCCTGCATTCAGAACCACATTGGCTTGCTTTACTGACAAATCTAAGCGTACTTTGCATTTGTTAATGCTAAAGGACCATAACAGCCTCAGGGAAAGACAAAATTTTGTTCTGGTTCGCATGCTGTCAACAGAATTGCTGACCAATTTCTGCTCTCAATTGCACCTCTGCGACCTCCAAGCAAAGAGGAACCTTTCGTTCCCACGTGGTTAAAAAAGCTCACACATGAAATACCAATTTAGCAGTCACCGAACAAATGGCTCATGACATAAAACAGAGAAGAAATGAAATTCAAATACTTCAATGGGAAATGGACTGTTCAAAAGCAAAGGTGGTGAGGGGGGAGGTTACAGGAAGGAAGATGGAAAATGCCACGTTTCATAGAAAAAAGAAATCTCTGCTGGAAGCAAAGAAAATGGCTTTAAAACTGACAGGCTGCAGAGCTCCCTATTCAGTTCAGTGATGTGCATCCCTCAGTTCTTCACCACCAAATACCCTGCCTGCTCTACAGCATCAACACTGTTAGATGCCACCTGGGCCTCCACCAACCATCCTGGCAACTCATGGAAAGCCTGTGTGGGAAAGTTTTGGTGGAGAACTTGGTAGAACAAAAACACAAACAGCTGCAACAAGAGGTCAGGCATCAGCAAGGAAAAAAAACACAAACAAAAAAGCTGCTCTTTTAGCACCTCAAGTGTGGGGACACACACAGCTTTGCTGGCCAAACAGTTCTTGAAGGTTGTTTTTTTTTAAAAAAAAAACACCTTTGTGCCAATACAGGTGGCATTTCCAGTAGAGGGCTCTGCTGACGTGGCCAGAGCTCTGGGCTCATCCATGAACATCACCTCTGTGCAACTTTCTGCAGTGTCAATAGTACCAGAAACATCACCAAAGCAAATACAGAGCACAGTGGCACAGAGATTATTCCAGAGTTCTGTATCACAGGGAAGAAGAAAAAAGCCTTAAAAAAAAAAAAAAAGCCTATTTCTGGAAAATAAAAAAATGTTACAAATTATTGAAGGTATCTGTAAATAGTGCCAAAATTCAACATCCTCAAAATTAGTAAAGCATCCTACACCGACGTGGCACCTACTGACCTCTGGGACATCCGTTTCATGCTCAGGAGAGTCACCTCCATCATCACTTGTCTTCCTCTTTCTTTTGTTTCGGACACTTTGTATGAAGTTCTTGTGAAAATCACAAATATACAGATGTCTCACCTGGGAATCAGAAGTGGTAAAAATAAGCAATCAAAAGAGGTACTGCAGGAACTGCATTCAACAGTAGCCACTTAGACACTGGGGTGAGTGTGTGCATCCTTTAGGACTGACTGTATCAGGACATTAAGGAATTTATAATCTTAAACTCCAGGACTGATATTGTACTCTTGAGTTACAGGTAATTTACATTACAAAGACTAAAGACAAGGAAAAAGAAGGACTCAAGAGCTCCACCTGAACCTCTGCAGACAATGTATTTCTGTTTTATGGTCGCAATCACGTCAGGAAAAAAAAAAAGGGTAATTGTGTGGAGAAAGTCTTCAGGACTTACTACCACAGAACTACCAAGAAAAATGTTATTATTTTCTAGTCTTGTGAACTTTCTGGTTTGAACACTACATAATATCATTAATGCAAGTGTTTAAAAATCTCAATCAAATAAAATCTGGCTAATTACCTCAATTTAAACAAGCAAACCAAAAGCAAAACAACCTTTTCTCTATAGCTTATCTTTCCATGGACCCCTTTTTTAACAAGTATTATCCCAATAGAACCAGCATATAAACAAACAGAAAAAAAAGACCACATATGAAAAACAATTATTTGGCACCTGTAAGACAAAAATATCTTCAGACAACACAGGCACCTGACATTTAAATTCACTTTATGAAGCTCTTTTCATACTTCCCCTTCATTTTGAGCTCATTGGTCTGATTTTGTCTTTTTAGTTCTGAAGCCTCTCACCCAGCAACAAAGAAATATTTCTAAAATGAAAGAAAGGGCTACACCACCAGGCAAATCTGCTGAGGACTCCAAGCTGGAGAAAGACTCTGCTTAGATTTCAAACTGAGTCACCCTCTTCCCGTGACATGATGTATCTGGCTGTGCAAAAGGCACCTCAGCAACTGGGGAAGCTGCCAAACAGATTGACTCAAAACTTCACCTTTCCTTTTTTTTTGTAAACGGTTTTAAACTTCAAAAGATCAGATAAGAAAAGCCGAGCAGAATTCTGATAACCGAGTCACCTCTGGGAAATTCTTCCTGTAACCTTCACGGGCTGCTCTGCTCTACCTACTTCTTTACCCGGCAAAGGACCCGTTTCTATGTGGAGCCGACAGCTCCCGCCTCGTGTCATTAAGGGGTCGGCAGCAAATCGGGCTGTTCCCGGCCGAGCAGCCGGGATCACAACGCACCTCGCCTTGCCAGGTCGACGCAGCAGCTCCTTCCTAACGTTCTGCTTCGCTGCAACGCGGATTCTTACCAATTAAAAAAAGTAACGTCAGCGACACCTGACTGAGATCATAACGCTTAGGGCTGATTTCACCCAGCAGCGTCGGCGGTTCACAACGTGAAACTTGAAATTAAAACGGCGCTGCTGCCTCCGAACCAAAGCCGCTCGCTCCTGGGCTCCCCCTGAACATCCCCTGCCCCCCAAACGCGGCTCCCGGTGCTGCTGGAGGGAAAGTGCCCCAAGGAAAAGCCGCGTCCCTCGCTCTCCAGCCTCCTGGTGCGCTCGCCCTGGCGCGGGGACCCCGAGGGTGGGAACCCGCGCTCCGGGGGGGCC